TCTGCAATAACCACACGTACAAATATGCTTGGATAATGTATGCATTGTCCTTGAAACTGCACCAGAGACGGCCTCTTTTATGGCATTATCCCAACAGTGCTAGACAAAAGGCAAGCAGTACAAGGCCAATGCAAACACTAAGGCATTAATAGTTTTGGTTAAGAAATTATAGCTATGGGACCCTTTTTTCAGTATCAAGATATTGAACGATAAGGTTGTTGAACGTATGTACGTATGTTGAATTTCTTTAACACCGTACTTAGCCAACTGCTAATCGGAACACGTTGTGAATGACAAGAAAAGCTCCGTTTTGTAGAACTAGTTCTGGAAATAGACATAAATATCCAGGTGTAAATTCCTTGAGAACAATGACTGGTCATCATCATCCTCACGATCCATGGGCAAATAGTCCATTGGTGTCGATTGCACATTTCGCAATTATTTTCTATTTTCCTTTGTCTTGTACCAATATGCCCAAGTCGTGTCCCATCTTTCTGGCACCCATCACTTCGTGACTGCTAGTAGCACCAATTTGCGTGACATTTTCCAAGGCAAATCAACCTCTATCGCACGAGGTTGTGCATTGCTCCCGATGAATGGCGACAAGTCTTGGTGTCATGACTTGCTGTCAATAACGCAAACGTAAGAAGTGATGACAACACAAGAAAAATAGAATAGTTGCCGTCGACAACATGTGGTCATCATACGATTAAGTGGTCACTGAGCTCAAGTGTGCACCCTTGTGGAACACGGTGAGGATGATGACGATCATGATGAAAGAAACATACATAATTGCATTATATCCATCAGCAGAGCCTAATTTTTATCTATGGAATCTATGTCATGGTTGTGTTCCCATGTGGTGCATGTAGAGTATATAGTGCCACGTGAAATTACAAATATAATCAGAAGCAAAATATTGATTTAGACTGGAGGAATCCAATGAGCTATAAAGCTCTTTTTCACAGATGTCCAGGAGGGGCGGGTCAGCAAGTTACAACAACAAACAAAAACAATAGGAGTGCAAAATAGAGAAAAGGTCAGCAATTCACAAAAATAAATAATGTATACAAGTACAAGTTGCAAAGGTGGATTAATTCCTACCGATTTGCAGCACCAAGTGCAAGCTTGGGTAAAGCAGCAAAACAGCATCAGTCCCAGAGATCCCACACCTAGACAACACAGTCCATGAATAAAATTGCACATTAAAATTGAACTATAGATACACGGGTAAGGACCAAAGTTGCAAATCACATTGACAAATGTGGTTGTATCCAGCTCTAAATAAGGGCAATCACTAAATAACCTTTTAGCTGTCATTTTCACACACATTCCACATCGATAAATAGCATACATTGCAATCGTGCAGTGCTTTGATCAAACACGTGGTAAATCTGTATCTATGTAGTGAGTCTAACTGAGTTGCAGAAGTTGTCTTGGGAGCAACACTATTTATTACACCAACTCAACACAACATAACGTAACCTCCACTTGGGTGTTGAACGCCCATCTTAACCACGCTACGGCAGAACTAGACACGGTTTCGCTATCCCGGTCCGGACCACGAGCTGGGTCCTGGACCGCGTGGCTCGAGGCTTCTTCAACCCGACGTGGCTCTTCTTCACCAACAACCCGAAGAACCCCGAGCTCCTCACGGCCCCCCCCCCCCCCCCCCCCCTTATATCGGCCTGGGCTGGGGCTGGCTCTGCCCCTCGCCCCGCCCACCTTCTAGATCTCTCGAGCTCTTTCCCGAAGGCTCCCGAGAGCTCCTCTATACCACATGACTGCCAAGCGGCCCCCGTCCACCGGTGGCCCCCCTCCAATATCTTCCGGTCACGTGTCGGCAGGTCAAGCAGCGTATCATGCCCCAACGTAACCCTGGCTTGCTTACACTCCCTCACTCCCTCACCGGGAGCCCGCACCGCACACTGTACGTGGTGCCTCCGCGCTGACCAGCGCTCACCCAAGCCCCGCTAGGGCTGGTACTACGCCCAGTAACTGGGCTGCACATAATGAGAACGTTTTATCCGCCGTGGCTTCGCAAGCCCAGCACCACACAGTGACATTCACGGTCACTACAAATATATAGCCAATGAGCAAATCACCCGGAACCGTGCCTGATCCTGTCAGATCGTAGAAGCTCAGTGGGGTTCAGTCTGCTTGTTTTGGGTGGCCACGATGCATGCCAGGCTGTCAACGGATAGTGGGTGATCCAACAACTTCCTGGATTTTCCCTGAAGGTGTTTGGCACAGTTTCAAGCGAAACGTATTATGGAATTGCTCGGTTTGGGTTTGAGAATTGCTCTACAGCTTTCCAGTGAGCTTAAACAGTAATGGTTGGCATACAATTCGCTTGTACATGCGACAATTTAATTTGTTGGTTTATGTCGGGTGATATCGGGTCTTATGACACGTTTGGCCAGCCTAAACATCTATTGTGAATAATAAAACTGCCTGGGAACACCTACACGTTAATAAAATCCGTTGTTGCAATGCACGTCTATGCTCATACGTCTTCACCAATCTGCGCTGACCAGCGTGGTGAAGTACGGTCAAATCCCACGACACACGCGGTCAGAAGTCGGAAGAGGTCAGAAGTTTATTGCCCGAGTTAAAGACCCTGGAGCTACACAGCTCGCTTTCCCGGGCCTGTCACCCCGGCAGACAACTGCATTGGATTGACAGAAAAGGCTGTAACTGTGCATTTATTCTTTAAATAAATAAATCCGACATTTACAATGCTCTATATTCAGCAAAATTCTGAAACAGAAGCGCCGACGGCACTGAGAAAAACGAAACTTACTTAAATGAAGCCGAAGAGAAAATATTTTTTTTTAGTCTGCCGATCTTAAAAGCACCGATTGTCACGGCTGAGCGGACTTCAGTCGACAGAGACTGCTCCAAGCCACAGGGCTTGCCGATGGACAGCTCCGGTCTGCTCTCCTAAACCGAGCAGATCTCACAGCAGGTCCATAGCAGATGAGCGTAGGTGTCGTGATGGTATACGTGGGCGGATGGCATTGCTCAGGTAGGTTGGTTAACCGATTGTCTTTGTACTCTTTGGTTTTTTCGGTAAAGTCACATAGGGAAAAATTTGAATAAATAGAATGAAACAGAATGAAAACAACTAAAATAAAATTAAATCAAATCACGACGTTTCGGGCGCAACACAAGCGTCCTTCTTCAGGTGTTGCACCCGAAACGTCGTGATTTGTTTAAAATTTTGTTGTTATTTTCATTCTATTTTATTTTATTTATTTTATTTTTTCCTACGTGACTTTACCGACAAAACCAAAGAGTATGAATTCTTGCAGTCACGGAAACTTCAAATCTACGATTGTCTTTGCTATGAAAGCGAGCACTGTTGCCTTGTACTGGATGGACTCTCTTATGCACTGTTAACCAGTGCAGCAGAGGCTATATTTGAACATAAAAGTTGCCGTAATACTGATCCCAATACGTTTTATGTTACCTCCATCCATTAACTTCACTCATTGTAAATTCCCATCCATTACAATCTAGTAACTGTTTTACTCATCGTCATATTTCTGTATGATTGTTTTCTGCTTCGTATGAAATCGTTAGTTGCAACGAGCATCTTTAATTACTGTATTGCATCTTGCACTTATGTTTACGATAGCTTGTTTGTCCGCGTTATCTCTCCTTTTGACTTGTGGTAGTCTTGACCAGGTCGCCAGCTTTGTAAAGCAACCCATGTAGGCTCAAGTTCTGACCTGATAGGATTAATGTATCTGACTGTTGTCTAACAACCACCCTCATGTACAGTGCAAAAGAAGTACAACATACATACATACACCTCTTAGCATAAACCATCACGCAAACTCCGGTCATCCTCCAGCGGCTTTTGGCTAGCCATTGATAAAAAACGGTCACCGCATCGCGCGCATTCAGATGCGCTTCTGCGGCCATCTGAAACGCTCTTCCTTCCAATATTAGGAAACCGCTGGAGCTATGCACTTTTCAAGTTAGATTGAAAACTCATTTATTTAGAACTGCTATTTGTGGTTAGTTTGTTGTCCTTCCCCGCACCTTTGTTTAGCACGGTCGGCTACGTACGGCGCGAAAGAAGTTCAACATACATGCGTGCATAAATGTCTGCATTATGTTTTTTGTTATTTTATTTAAACTCCTAATTGTACTGGGCTGGCTTTTTCCCACTGGTATTTCCCTGGAAGCGGTCCTCTGTGGCGGGTGGTGTATGTTTACTCTAAGGCGTTAGTGACTCTGTGGTTGAGCATATTCCAACCTCTTTACAAGTTATCACAGGTTCCATGTAAAACCGCGGCATGCGACGTGATTGGTGAACGTTCAAATTCGTGAGACTTTTTTTTTTGCCAGGAAAGAAACCTTTTGAGAGAACAAGTCTTTTTGGCTAGGTTGAAATCGGTTTAAATTAAAACAACAGTGTGCGGTACGTTAGAGGCCGAGATGCTGAGTATATTTCAGATCCCAATATTCGAGTGGTTTTTACACTCGAGGTTGGTCTCAAAAGTTTTTAAATGGTTTTGGCATGTTCTTCTGAAACACTTGCAATCTGAAGTTAGCTCATAATTGATTCATAATTTTTTTAGCCAATGGCCTTTGCAGTTTAATTTTGATTTGGAAACGCTCTAGGATGCTATGCATGAAGGGCGTTATAAAAGCACATTTTGTGTTGTTGCAGGATTGTTGTTGTCTTCACAGTTTTTTGTTGTTGTTGTTCTTGCTTCACCCATCACTCTTGCACACTGTCAAGAATGTCCAGGATACCGAGCGACCGTTGAGAGGTTTCGAGTCTACTTAATTACCACTTGGTCCTGAACATTTCGCTTGAAAATATTCGCAAGTGTGTGTGTTTTTTTACGAGACAGATTATTTGAATTGATGCTGGCAGAAGGATGCATTATTGAGAGACTTGTTTTGAGTCCCGGATAACTGTTCTGTCGCTGCCAAAGTTGGATTATTTTCAATGGTGTGTGGTGTTTGTGTGTCTTTTACAGCTATCCAGTGGAAATCCTATATATGAAAAATACTATCGACTGGTAAGTAGCTTTACACATCCCGCATCACATCATCATGATCCTAATTGTCAACATCACATAATGATCATAACCGTTGTCATGATTATCACCATTATCATCATTCTTGTTATTCTGGTTATAATTTTCAACATCATCATTGCCATCATCCTCATAATTGTTAATATCAGCACTGTCATCACCAACACCACCAACTTGATATATCGCAATGGCTGGCAATAGCTTGGTGAGTTTTACTTTTGTCGATCAGCTTCCTCCGTCTGTGGTTACTGCACCCAGCGAACTGCATTTTGGCTTCAAACGTTATGTTCAAAACGGCACTTTCAAAATAACTAACCACTCACAGTAGCTCAGAGGTCCGAATGTTGGGCTGTCACCACTGAGATCTTTGAGCAACATACCCCGAAAGCTGTTCTGAAGTCTCTCAGTAATTTTTATCTGAACTGGTTCTCATTAAATAAGCCTCAAACCGTGTGTCGGATACCTTGGTTCACGGAGCATAGGTAATTCGTTACGAATGTACAAAAAGCATCACCGTCACCATCAGTTGTGATCAATCTGCTGCTGGATGAAGGCCTCCCCATGCTTTCCAACCCTTATCTGCTTCTGTAATATTAACAAAGACAAAGATTCCCCATATAGCCCGAACAGACTGTTGGGTCAAGTGCTGTTAGCAAGTACCTTTGAAGGCCGGCACAGCACACGAGGTGGTGAGTGGCCAGCACCACGTCCGGTCAGCTTTGTCTTTCTCATGGCACTGTTTACACATCACACCACTGGATTCATAGCACAGCGCACTAAACGCTACACTGCCGCTCCCCTGTGATTAGCATGGTTGGTTACGTATGGTGCGAACGATGTTCAACATACATATTAACGATCCACCTAACACACCTGCACACCAGGTGATCTCATCGCTGGGTAGACATCCACTGAGGGGCACTCACTCTGTTGGCTGCCACCCCATCGTTATTCTCGACCGCTAGCCCATCATCCGTTCTGGTGACGTTGACTTGTCCTGCCCAATCCCACTCACCTCTATTTACTGTCAAAAGTATGTCATTCATCTGTGAGGTCTGTTCTCTGATCCATGTGTTCCTCTCTCTGTCTCGAAGTGTAATGCTAAGAATGCACCTCCCCTTGCTTCTTTGTTATTTTTTTCAACTTTCGTTCCGTGTATTAGATAAGAGCTATTTTTTTGTGGCTCTTCCTGCAACTAATCCTACAATCTCAAGTTACAGCATGTTTGCTTCTTCACGTGCCCTCTTTTCAACCACCAGACAAGCTAGGAAAACCGGTTACGTCTGCCCGGGTCGCACGACTAACATCTTGTTGGTCGTACAGGTCGCATTTGAACCGCGTCAGTCCAGTTTGCGGTGTGACTTGGCGTCAAGCTTTTGTAATTCTCAAGCTGTTTTTGTGGATTTTTGTAACGAATCAAACCCTGTTAAATACGGCCTATGAAAGGAAAAACACTTCAGCAAGTGATGTTTCTCTTATTTCTCCTGTCTGTGGGAAAATCGGGGTCCGATTTACGACGGCGTTTCCAGGAAGTATTGTCATAAAATCGGGGACCAGCCTGTACTTTGTTCTTCCTCTATAACTAGAGTTTTATTTGTTGACATACAGTTTATTGTACAGACTGACAAAAATTTTACCCACCACCATCACCATCATTATCGTCATTAACAAAAAAAAACTTTATAGCCGACCTGCTCCTATTGGACATCTGTGAAAAAGAGCTTTATAGCTCATCGGATTCCTCCAGTATAAATAAAGATTTTGATTCTGAAATAAATAACTAAAGGCGGTTTGTTGGAAGTACAGGTATGGCGCAAATTTACTTATCTAAGAAAAGACCAATGTGCTCATGTCTCGGGAACAAATGCAGTGGCAACCAAAGGTAGGAACGCGCTCAAGGTGATGATCACTTTGGGAGATGGAGCATTGAAATCAGTTATTGCGCAGCTGATACGTGGAACGTTATGTTGCAGGACCCTGTGATTTTAGAAACGTGCGTTTAGATTATTTGGCTATTATAAATTCCATGTGATAAGCCACTTTGTTGAGCTATCATTTGTGGCCAGGTCGCTTCTGAAAAAGAAGCTAATAACTCAGTGGGTTTTTACTTGGTAAAATAAAACAGAGTTTAATTTTATATATTTTTTGGTGACTTGCTTACCTTTACTATATACTATTCTTCTATCGTAGTTTTGTTTTGTTGTAATTTTATGACCTGCCCCGACTGGATATCTGTGAAAAAGAGCTTGATAGCTTATCAGATTCCACCAGTATAAATAAAGATTCACATTCTGAAATTGTGATAGCTTCATCTTGCAGTGGCTTGATCGTGGAAGATCATAATGTTGATGATGGTTACCAGTAAAGTAACTTTTGGACCACCCTGTAAATGCAAAAGTGCAAACCCCAAAAAGAAACAGCTTTTTAGTTAATTGTTCCTTTAAACAGAAAAATCTTGTGGAAATTGTATTGAGCTTTGACATTTATTTTTTACTTTGGCCAATATATATTCACAATAACAAACCGTCAAATTAATTATTAACGTGACTTTAAAATAGCAAAAATGTATAATTGGTGGCTTTTTCTGGCAATGTTCCTTCTTTACAGAGGAGAGAGAGAGGGGGAAAGGAGATTGACTTATTGTTGGAGCTTGTACTGCTGGGAATTTGACAAATGGGAAATTTTAAGCAATCTGTCAACTGTTTTTAATTGACACAAGTAGTTTAAGAATAACAACTTAATTCTACGTTTTTATATCTTGTCATTCATGAAAATTTGACCTCAAAACACCCCTAAAATGTTGTAACGCGCACTGATTTTCACAAACAGGCGCGGGAAACCAAGTTGGGAAGGCAGCCAGAACTGGCACCAACACTTGCCCAAGCTCTGTTGGTCCTCTATGTGGGTGTTTGGCCAATTTACTAGAAGGTTTTGAGACCATCAACTCGCCACCCTTGAGAACCCGGTTTAATCGCGGGCAGCTGACCGGATTCGAACCTAGGGTTACAGCGGTGCCAGCTCGGTGCTCTGCGACCTCCTGAGCCACTCGGCTACCTCTAACCTCCTATATTTCTTGCACAAAAATAATCACGGCTATGGGGTTATACAGGTAGGAACAACAGGTTCCACACTGCCCACCAGGGATTATTTGTCTGTCGTGCATATGGGGAGGGGAGGGTGGGGGTGGGAGGGAGGGAGGGAGGGAGGGGTGGGGCGTAGTGGGGAGGGAGGGGCTGGGTGGGGTGGGTCTGGGTTGGGAGGGGCTGGTCACCCCGTGGTGCACGTAGGTGGCCAGGACTACGCCTGGCCACCTTTGTCTTCCCAGCGCTGAAGTTTTATACACCGTACCAGGTACTCATTTGAGGCCGAGTTGACCTAGGGGAGGCCCAGGACTGGTTTAGATAATCGTCACTGGTGTTGGCCTTGAGCGGGAATCGAACATGGGTCACCGGATTTGAGGTGCAGTGCACTAACCACAACGGTGACTACACTATCGCTCCCCACACCACCACCTCATACACTGTAGGCGGAAGTGGTAGCAGCACTAGCCCCAACAGTCTAAGGCTATATACAGAGGATCTTTGGATTTGTTTTTACGTATGTATATGTGTGTTTGTGACTGGACAATGTTGCTTCATCAGTGAACCTTTAAAAAATATGATAGGTTAATAATTGTTGTTAATAATTATATGTCTGTGTGTATGTATGTGTGGTGTGTGTGTATGTGGGAAGCATTTGTGTTGTGAATGCACTGTGCTATTATTAACACGGCGAGCGGAGTTCACAGTTCAAATCATTGGCGAGTGATCTCAGACCTGGTCCTCCCATATGTCGTCTCTTTCTTAAATGAGTAGCTCTTGCAGTGTGTAAACATCAGCATTGGGGAGACAAAGGCAGCGGCGGGTGGTGCTAGCCACGCCACCACCTCGTGCGTCACGCCGACCTTAATACCGAGCAGCACCTGTTCCAACAGTCGCTGTGTTGTTATAAAGGGTATATGTGTATGGGGGTGTATTTGTATGTATGTGTTGCACAGTGGGGGAGCACAGGTGGTGCATCTGCTAGTTAACTCAGTCCATCAACCTATAGCACCTGGGTCTTTCCAGTGACCCCCTGACCAGGGAGCCTTCCACACTTCACGTGGCCTCAGCGCGTGCACCTAGCCTGGTAAAAGTGATGTGGTTACATCACCGTCACTTAGTGGGGAATGTCGGTTGTTGTTCTCGGCGTGTGTATCTTGTTTGCGTTCGCGCGTGTGTATGATGGGCAAACTTTGGCCACCTTGGTTGCTGGAGCGATGTTTAATTGGGTCCAAACTCTGTCAACCGTTATGCTAAGCATGTGCATTGCTCGGACTGCGCTCAGAGGGCTGTATCTCACTTTTCTCATTTCAGGTGGACCCAGGCAACACGGGTCAGGTGGGCGCCGCACAAGCAGTGGTCTTTTTAAAGAAGTCTGGATTGCCCGACCTGACGCTAGGCAAGGTAAAACGACAACACACCTGAGCCTCTGTACGTACTTACGTACGTTGAACTTCTAAAAGTGTGTTGTTCGGAAAATTGGAAGGAACCGGAAAGAGAGCAAGACCTAACAGAGAAATGGCTTGACGACGACACAGAAAGATGTGCGCTACTTGAGCATATTGGCAAAAGACAGAGGGAAAGTGGAAAGAAATGACAAAATGTGCAGTGGATACCTACGGGATATCTGCCCATGGATCGTGATGATGATGAAGTTCTTTCGCACCGTACGTAGCCAACCGCGCTAATTGGAGGTGCGACACCGTGCTCTGGAAGTGTGCCGCAAATCGTTTTGGGGGGTTTTTCTTCCTTCCGTATTATTGCCTAGAAGGGTGAGTTGTATAATCGCTGAAACGAGCACGGCGAGAGGGACGCATGCGGGGAAATTCGCTGAGAGATGGAGAGATCAACGTGGCGAATCGGAGAACATGCGCAAGGTTAAAAGACACAAACTTTGGACCGCTTAAGAGAAACAGTGGTCTTTGGCAGGGCGTTTCCACTAGGAGGGGTGACGGACGAGTGGTGGTCAAAGTGGTGGGGGGGATGCACTCAAGAGAATGTCCTCAGTGGAGATGGAGCTATGGAATCACTTGGTGTGCAGTTGCAGCGTGGATCGTTACATCGCTGTACATGGAGAGATTGCGACAACTTGATGAGGCATTCATAAGTGGATTGATCATGGCTGATGATGATGGGAAGTCAAGATTCACCTCTTTTATAATTCAATTCTTCTTCGCAATTTAGGGTGGATATTGAATTCAAGAATTTATTCTTTTTTTATGTCGTCATGAATTTAGTGGACTCTAGTGACTGGAGGGGTTATGTGAACCAATTACAATGTATGTGAATTGAGGATAATCAATTCGTATATGCACAGGTTTTATGCACTTATTGCTTAGTTAGTACCGTATTTTACCGCATATAACCCGCATACGCATATACCCCGCAAAAATAGCGTTTTGTGTAAAACAAATTTCAGATAGCCCTTGCACCTCCATATACCCCGCATGCATTCATATCTTTAACGTCGTTACCGCAGCTTAATTCTATCATATTAATACGAAGCTTACATTTGTAATACATTCCACTATCAATTGTTAACATTAAAATCATAACGTGCACAAAGAAAACAAACTAACCGGAAACGAGTGAACTTAAAACAGTAAATAAGTAACAAAAGTAAATATCCAATAAATAAGTAATACATAACTAGTAGATAAGTAAATACAGTTTTATCACTGGTAGAATGCGCACTGCACAGACAATAGCGGCACTACGGTAACGCCGTTGCCTCGCCCCCAACTCCCCCACCCCCCACCTCTCTCTCCCCCCAGCTCTCCTCGTCGCCGCTAAACAAAGTGCGCCCACTTCAAACATTGTCGTTTCATTGTACAAACAATTCGAATCATTGAAAACGTGATAACATGTGCAATTTTAGTGTGAGTGGTTTATTCAGCAGTGCTTTAGTCAAAGGTAAGTGTTGCATAGTGGATAGTCCTACTATGAAACAATTAAACGAGTTATGAAATGTCACACGTATAAAATATTTTTGGAATAGCCCGCACTTCCATATACCCCACAGGGCCTTGTTTTGCTTGTACGGTAATCAATATTAAATGATCAATTAATCAATGCTATACCCATAATTATACAATTCAAGTGTTAATTCATTTAATTGTATCAATGTAACAAAGAATGAGGCTAGAACATTTCAACCAGGGCCAATATTTTTGTAGATTGCTTTGTGACATGACACCAGGACAGCCTTTCTGAAACCACTGGGACTGTCCTGGCTAATGTAGAATATGTGGCAGCTTTAGTCTCGCCACTCAAGAGGCATTTGTGCAAAACCTGGAGTCTCTTAACTTCTGGCCCCATAAATACCTGTGCACATAGCCGAGCATTCTCTACGAACATTCCTAACATTGCTGAAATTGAAATTCTTGCTGTATTTCTCAGTGAACATTCATTATGGTCAGAGTGAGTGGTGGCTTAAACATTGCTTTGTTTTAGCAACACAAATATATAGGGGTTGCTTAGCAGCTTTGAGGGTGCAAACTTTTTCAGAAACTTTGAGGCGCTAGGTTTTAATCTGGGATTCAGCGGCCCGTGATGAGAGCAGATTCGAAAGTGGAGCGAGTTGATGGGCTGGCTGGGTTCCCAAACTACTCTGTGAAAAGTACGACGTTAAATTTGGTGTTTCATTTCATTTACCTTGTCTCAAGCCCTGGAGACTAAAATGACATTCATTCTTAATTGTCCTGTGGAGTGGCGCTATGGTTAGCACACTGCGCTCCTCTGAGTTCAATTCCTGGCCAAGGCTAGCATGAATGGCGAATGATATCCAAACCAGTCCTGGGTACCGCTTTCACAAAACTGCACTGGCCAGCATGGTAAAGTATGATCCAACAACCTCAATGACTCATAAGGTGTGTGAAGACTTTAATCCAACAGTGGATTGACATTGAAGAACAATATTTACAGGAAAATGAAACATTCTTGTCCATTATCACATAAGAGAGCCTTCTGAAGTGATGTCATCTTCCGGAGTGTTGTTACTTCAACACAGCAATGGGTATACCAAATTTACAATTCGAATCCATATCAGAATAAATACGGTATCCTATTCAGCAATAGTAGACCTATAGCAAGCGAGAGAGAGAGCAAGCGAGAGAGCTCTTAATAGGAATAAGGAAAGGGCAAAGCTGGAAGTTTCCTGTTCTCAACACACAGTACCAATGTTCACGATCGTAATATACAACCCCATGATGTCGACCCCCAAAGGGTTCAAATTGGTGAGACCCCGACCGAAAAAACCTTGAGAAACCCCAGGGGACTCGGGCAGAAACCCAAAAAATTGAGAGAGAAACCCCAAGAGATTGAGAGGGAAATAGAAAAAACTCTGGCACAGAAATATTTAACTCTCACGCAGGCAAGGGCAAGTCTACTTTTGGAGAAATGAGGGGTGGGGGAGTGGTTTACTAAGTAAGTTTTCTTTGCAACATTAGGGGCTGAACCACTTAGCGACTTCCCCCCCACCCCCCATAGTAAATTAAATTATAGTATAGTCCCTACCTAACCATAGATAATTGTTATCAGTTTCCTAGTTGTTCTGTCATAGAACCAATGTGAGTAAAGTCGAAACCTTTAGGAGCTGACCTACATGTAAAACGTAAACCATTGGCAGCAGCTGCCCGTCTACTGCAGTAAATGGGTCTAAGTGTAGTATTTACGAGAGGTAAACAACAATAAACATGTGAGAATCCCTAGCAAGGCCGTGGGACACTCAACACTGTGAAAAATCCGTGAGTTTCAAGGGTATTCCTCGAGTCTTTTAGAGTATTTGGTTGCTATAAATTTCCATGCGATAAGCCACTTCGTTGAGCTATCATTTGTGGCCAGGTCGCTTCTAAAAAAGAGCTATATAGCTCAGTGGGCCTTACCTGATAAAATAAAATAAATAGTAGTTGAATAGAGTTCCCATGTTTGAGAACTCTAATTCAATTCCCTACTGCATAAATGCCTCCCCGTGACGTGTTGATTGTGGGGTATTGTTCGACCATACTTCACCACTACTCTGCTAAGCACGGGTTGGTGAAGAGGAGCCCGGGACCAGTTGGGATATCACTCGCCACTGATGTTGGCCCTGGCCGGGAATCAAATTCGTTTAGTTACTTTTAGAGTAAAGTACAGTGCACCATTTACTACACGACCAACCCCGCTACCCATCAGTGCCAAGAGCACAAGTGAAATATAATTGAGGATAAAAGCAACAAAAATGTCGAAAAATCTGCCATAGTTGACTGTGCAACACTTTCACAGATTCTATCGGAGTGATTACAACTGAATTACTTGTATGTGAAGGGAGAAACTTCAGATGACACTTTTTTGCTATCTCTCAAGATCTTATGTAAATATGTTTTCCCAAGCCAGAGAGAAAAAAAACCTAGAACAGCATTGAGTGGCTTGAATGTTGTTTGCTGTGCTGGTTATGATTATAGCAAACAATGGCTGCCAATAAATATTTTGGCATTCTAATCACTGGGTTTCATTTTGGCACTGCCGAAAGGAATGCGTGCGGTTGTAAATAACAAAAACAAATATTAAACAAAAGTAACAAAAATCTTCTGGGCGGTAGCGCTTACAGTAGTTTGCTCATTTATTTGGACAAAGTAAAGTTTCTGTGTTAGGTTCGTGGTCGTGGTTCTGTGGTTGTGACTTTCCGCTGAATGTGCGTTTGTGTTTTTTTTCTCTCGCTCAAAGATTTGGGAAGTCGCCGACCCGGAGGGCAAAGGCTACCTTGAGAAACAGGTTTGGTGGCGCTGTCTTGAAACATTCATTGATTCATCGCATTGTAAACCATCATCATCCATCGCCAATCCACTGCTGGTTGAAGGCCTCTCCAAACCCCCTTCGCGATCCTCCACGATCCTGCGTTGTGATAATCCAACAGACCATCTGCACACGAGCGAACCGATTTCATCGCTCCGTCTCTCCTGGTGGAGGTTTACTCACGACGCGTTCTATTCCTTGGGCTGCCACTCCGTCACTATTATTCCTGACCAGCGACTATCGTCCCCATTCAGCCGTGACATGTCCTGCCCTAGCCTACGTGCTTAACCCTTTTTCCGTTTCCGAGACGACTGCGAGTTGCAGGGTGAGTCCCGTTCACCGCTGAATACCGGAACGCGCAAGCGGCTCTGCGTTAATATTATGTAGAGAGGCGTAGCGGCGTTATTTTGAAAGACATTGTACTCGCCACAGAGAACCACTCTCTGCGATAGCTGGCGCCAAACTGTGCCGCACTCCCTCCCGCATGGCCTCGTGGAAGCCTCGATACTGATGAAGTTATTATATTTGCGTTTTTTGCTGTTTCGTTTTAATGACGGAAACGTTATCGGAACGGAATCGGAAGAAAAACTGATGACGTACACGTGTGTCATCGGAACGGGAAAGGGTTGACAGCTTCAAAGCCGTCTTTAACTTCCGTACGTTCTATGATTCCATGCGTCCCTCTTTCCGTCCCTCGATGTCATCACACGCCTGCATATCCTCCAAGCTTCTTTCCTCGCCTTTTATGCCACCCATTGCTTAAATGTTGTATGTTCGTGGAGACTTTGTGACACCTGTACTGTGTCAGTAGCATCGATTTTAGTTTTTTTTTAGTAACCAAAGATTTGACCGCTTCTGTGAATAACTTTGCCCTTTTTGGCGGGTGTGTTGGCCCACACCTTTAATGTAAACGCTATAAGGGTGGGCTTGGTGGACTGCACATGGATTATCATGCCACCTGAGTCAATGTACAGTGGTGAGGTGTTTTCAATCGTTGCTCAAGTTTAATTTCAAACTATTACCTACGGATCAGAAACACGGACACTGACAAAGGAAAATGTATCAGAATTGAAAAGAGCACGCAAGGAAGCGTAGATAGAAATGTGCACGCATTGGATTCGCAGTAATACCCCAATTTACATCTCCCCCTTTGACATCGTTTCGCAAATACGCCGTCACTATATTACCACCACTACCTGATTTGCATTGCCTCAACCCTACACTCACGTCGCTGACAACATCGTCCGTCCTTTTTCATTATCCGTCGCCTCTCAGCCTTCGCCTCCACCACCTACCCTGTAAATCGCTTCGATTGACGTCATTTCGATATTCGTCGTCGCACCTTTCAAGAACACATCCCCCCGACAAAAGGGGCATGGGCAGCACAAGTCACTCGAATGGTTGATGACCGGTGGTCGAGACTTGCGATGAAGTGGTGGCCAAATGAGGGGTAATGCCAGAGTACACATCAACTGAAGAGACGGATCGATGAGATCATCTTATGCACAAGCGCTAGATGGATTGTTGCGTCACATCACCGTGATTCAGAATCAGAATATTTATTTGGACTGGAGGAATCCGATGTGCTATAAAGCTCTCTTTTAAAGATGTCCAGTATTGATGATTGATGGTGATGACGTGGGGATGCCTTCATCCAGCAGTAGATCGATCATGGCTGATGATCTTGATGTTTTTTTTTTTTAGTCAGGACATAGCTCAGGGTTAGTGGATCACACGGAGATGTAAGTTGCACGAATCGCCCACCTTTAAAAGCAATCTGGCAACTCGTCGTGAGTAAAACAAGTAGGTTTCCAGCTGACTACATATAAATCGAATAGCTGAGGAACAATGTTGAATTGGCTTAAGACTAATAGTGGTCTTCCTGCGTTTAGAGAGCAAATCATCATAATAATTTAATTCAATATTATCCAGCCAGGTTGTGGTGTTGCGAGAGCGTTCAACTCACAGTTCAAAATGTGCGAATTCAAGTCCTGGCCAGTGCTTGCTGACTTGTTCTAGAATCCAAGGTGATTATCAATGACTCATATAAACCTTCGATGTGGGTGAGACTCTGAGCAAAATAAATGTTGAACATTTGGCATCATGGGAGATCGCTTGACTCGCAAGCAAGAGGAAGGTTTTGAGATTAATTCCTGGTCAGGCGTTGTCAACCTGTCCCATAACTCTCCACGTCTCTAAAATATGTAACCACCCTGTGGGAAGTCGGCAGCGTTGCGTTATCGATAGACTCTCCACTGCCTTGGGAGTGTCAACATCCCACCAGTGGCTGTCGGAGCCGCCAGTGGAGATCGATGCACACCATCATGTTTTCCCTTGCGCAGCGACCCTCTTTGGCTTTTGATGAATAATAAGTACAGTAAAACCTGGAACCAAATGCTCACTTGCTCGTGTGTTGTTTTCTCGCTCGTTGACTGCGCAGCGACGGTATTGACGCACTCAGGCACGCGCATGCTCTCTCTCGACTACGCCTTGCCCCACAGGGCTTTTACGTGGCGCTGAGGCTGGTGGCGTGTGCGCAGAACGCTCTCAATGTCTCCCTGAGCAGCCTCGACTTCCCCGTGCCCGTCCCCAAGTTTGTAAGTCTCGCAAAGCTTTCGCCATCCCATCTCTCACCCACCTGCTGTCTTTTGCCATCGCGTCTCTAACCGCCTGAGACGAGCGTTGTCGTTTGAGAGCAGAGCGGCCGTGGAAAACTGCAGCGTTTCCGGCCCTTAGATTGTTTTGCTCGTTCGTTTGTACGGTCGCTTTGCTGCATGGGCGCTAAGTGTGGTTTGGAACACGCCACTGCGCATGGTTAACCAGTTCTGAAAAATGCTGTTAAAAATAAATGTTGGTAAAAAAAATTGTCGGTTGCTTAATGCCTGATTGATGTGGAATTTGTGTGTGTTTAAAAAAAAAAAAACTTTATTCAGTTTCCAAAACTGTTCCGAAAATTGTTAAGAACATGTTTTCTCTGAGTGAGTTTCTGTTGTTGTAAAACTGGCTTTGCTTTTGTTGGACATGTGGTTTAAATATTCTTGTCTGCGTGTAGTATTCTTACATTTCACTCAATTACATAATGGACTCACATATGTTCGCTTGGCTGCCTCCCTGTTATTGTTCAGTGTTTGTAACAATGAAAGAAGTAAAATAATATTGCCAGTAAAGTTTTGACACATCTCTACTGAAAGCAAGACTGGCTTTTACTCCAATCATGATTGTGAATCTCCTGTCTAAAGTAGCTCCACTCATTTGTCAATAATGCCATGTGGTGTTACAAAGAAAACGTATAATATAGGCGACGTTTCAGGCATCAGTTCTCCTTCACGGCACACCGAGAAGCCGTAGAAGTTGAGTGGTTTCTCTTTGTGTGAGGATTAAGGGCATTTAACCAAAATGCCACCATTAGTATCTTCCTTTTTCCGACAGTGTTAGTTACCAATGTGTTCAGTTTGTTTTGATATTCGCGTACGTGCACCACTTCAAATGCAGCATCATCCAAATAATGTCTTCACGTAACAACTGTCATTAAGTTTAGAGCTGGGAAGATTAGCGGAATAATCGATTAAAAATTAACAGCCACTCTTTGTGGTTCATTACTCAGGTCCCCTTCAGCAGGCCCCCAATTCCATCCTCTTCAAAGTGGGAAATTCCCTAAAAGCCACGTCCAGCACGATACGGCCGCTTAGACCGGTAGACGTCATCATGCGCCACTGATCGCCTCCCGTTCAGTGGCACGCAAGGAAAGGATCAGTCGGGTAATCTGACCGATAATCTGTAGAGTAATCGATTACTTTAACTATGGGAGAGTAATTTCTAATCAAGATATGATCGGCTGGAGGATGCTCAAAGGGATAATAGCAGGACACTACACCTTGGAACATGCCTGTAAATGAAAAGAAAATAGCTTTTGGGTGGGATGTTCCCTAAAGCGAAATACCATATTTCATACACCTTATTGTGCTACATCCAGTCATTGATGACTGCCGCAAAAACCCACTACTCATGAGAAACCAGTTAAAGGGTGTCTCAAACCTGCAGTTGAACTCAGGTTACCGGCTAGGTAACGATGCATCTATTCATTATCTGGGGTGCCGCGATAGTGAGATGTTAACTACCTTGATGGGTATACAGGAGGTCGTTGGTTCGATACCAACCCTGGCATCTGTATATTTGGAGTTTGCATGTTTTCACAGTGGTTATGTGGATTTTTCTCCGTGTACTCCGGTTTTTCTCTCCACATTTAGAAACATGCGTTTTTAGAGTGTTTGGCTGCTATACATTTCCATGAGATAAGCCACTTCATTCAGCTATCGTTTGTGACCAGGTCGCTTTTGAAAATTAGCTAAAAAGCTTAGTGGGCCTTATCTGCTAAAATTAAAATTGTGTACTTTTAGTTTATTCAAGTCGATTCTAAAGCACAACGATACATATTTTGAATCGTGTATGTAAGCAAAGATGAGAGAAATCCCAATGAGAGAGCTAAACTCAGTTTCAAAAATATACACTTGTATAGGATCATCCTCTAAATACTGGCAATTTCATCGAATCGCTGAGTGTTGTGAACCAATCAATTCTCATCTTCAGCAACGTCAGCTCAGTATTCCGATGCGGGCATTATGAGACCCCTGGAGCTATCTGACCACCTTTTTATCTTCATTTGTTGTGAACAACAAATATATTATATTGACCGGTTGTCAGGTGATACAAGTAAGCACACACGTAAGGTGCAAGGTATATTTGCAAGAAAAATATAAGTTATCAGACAAAGGATATATTTTGAAACGTCTCCTGGCCCCTTTAACTCTGTGCTTCCAGTGGAACGTTTTTAAAGACAGGATTAGATCTACTGACTCGTACTTTTGAGATTAAGCACAAGTCTGCAGATTTTTCAAACCATGTTACACCATACCGATTTTTAAAGTGAAAATTGCATACAAAATGTTTTTTTTTACATTTCATACGTTATAAATGTCTTTGAAAACGGATGATATACATCTAGTAAAAGGGTAAAATAATCGGCAGCTTGGCGCTGTAATTCGGCATGTTTGGCAAGTACGGTAAACCCTCGCTTAACTCATGGTGTTCACATAATGCGTTTTTGCTTTAACACGGTTCCTGCATTCAGAAACACTTCGCACAAAGCGGAACGCACACTGTTATAATGCAGAACGTGCACCGTTACAACGCGGTTTCTCAGCGTTCGACCACAAACTCTCTTGAGCTGCGCGGCTGAGCGAAGTGATACAGTACGCAAAATTATACGGTATGCAGAACGATACAGTATGCAGTGGCGGCATACCCTCATCTCAGCTCTTTGTCCCGCCATGGAATGACTGCAGGCTAATTTCATAGTGCAAATGTAATTCAGTAGTAGTAATTATTTGCTCAATGTGGCACTTTTAAGGAACGCATCTAGCGCGTTAAACAAGGAATTGCTGTTTGGGGCTTGGCTCCCACCGTGTGCTGTGTTCCATGTGTGTGTGCGCGTGTGTGTTTCTGCGTCTTGCAGGAGCTCGATAGCCCAGCGATGATAGCTCCTCCTCAAGGCCCCGACATCCCCTGGGCTGTCAAGGTTTGCTTGACATTACTTTACCCCCACCTCAGATTAGTACAGTTGGTTACGTACGGTGTGAAATAAGTTCAGCATACATACTACACTCATTGAAACCTGCAATGTAAAGCTACGAGGGCTCATAGAAAAGTCCTTATCCTGGTGATTCAGTGGTAGGCTGACATATGTGTCCATTATAAACCGGCCAGCTGACTCGGTGGGAGAGCGGACGGCTGGCAATCAGAAGGTTGCTAGTTTAAACTCTGGTTGGGGGTTGACTCATTGTCCCATCATCCCTCCAGCATTGATAAATTAGTACTCAATTTGTAGGGAAGTCACCAGTGGTTGTCATATGATTAGGCCCTCTCCTACCATAGGAATAAGCAATTTACAAATCACTGACTTTTTTTTCAATAACTATGGTGATTAAAATAACTTCGTGTAACTAGTTATTAATGTCTGTCTTTGGAGAGTGATCACCTACTTAAATGGAAATTCACCTTATTATATACAGGACATAGAGTTGACTACAATGTATACATCTCCTTGGAGTGCCTTGCAAAAGAGACGGCTCATGTCTGTGATTTTATCAAAACGGCTGACCGACCGACTAACGATTATATATTTACGATGCAAGCAATTAAAACGCAGTCTTCAAACGATCACTTCTGTTTTCTTCTTCTCCCACCGCACATCGCAGCCGGAAGAGAAGGCCAAGTTTGACAGCATCTACGACAGCCTGAAGCCCCAGAATGGTCTCCTGTCAGGAGAGAAGGTCAAACCTGTGCTGCTCAACTCAAAACTTCCCGTGGAGACGTTGGGCCGGGTGCGTTTTAGGGCACTGTGGTGGCGAGATAACTTCCTTTGCCTGGTATACAGGAGGTCAAGGGTTGTATCCCGAAGGGGGGCGGGGAGGGATTTACAAACTTGCTTTATTGCTTTACCTGCCGTATCTGGCGACACTAAGGATTGCAAGCCCAGAGCGCGTCCTAACTCACTTATTCCAACCGCGGCAGTTTTGCAATACAACACCGACTAAATATTTTTTTGCAAAACTCTCTCATCGCCACCCACGCGTCGCGTTGCAGATTCGCTGATGCGGGGGTTTGTTTCCACAGGTGTGGGATCTGAGCGACATCGACAGAGATGGTTTCCTTGACAGGGATGAGTTTTCCGTGGTGAGTTTTTGTGTAAAGCATATTTCCCCCCCCCCCCCCCCCCCCCATCGAATATGTTCTGCACGGTCCACATTTGGTTGAGAATTTCTTTGCTCTTACCGCAGTGCAGTCAATATCTCTGTGCCAAGGAAGAACAATAATGCTCGCGTTTTGATTCCCTAACACTTTCCACAATATCTGTTGCCTTGCCCAAGCTTGGAAATTGATGTACTAATGCAATTTTAACTTCTATATTTTATTAATAATTTTTAGTGATTTGCTTACCTTTACTATACTTTGCAATCCTATGTTTCTTTTTGTATTGTTTTGTGTTGTAACTTTCTGACCCGCCGCTACTTGACATCTGTGACAGAGTTTCATAGCTCATCAGATTCCTCCAGATAAATAAAGGTTCTGATTATGATTCAATCCGCGTGTGGCCTCCGCAGTATTTCATTTTGGCAACACTGCCTTGACATTGCGCTGCAAAATGCACAGCGAGATGCTTACATTTTTAAATGTCTAGACTGCGTGTAGCAGCAGCCACCCTCCCGCGCCAACTCAAGGGGTCGTTGCGGGTTACAGTTCCCTGTGGCCAACCCTCACTCGACAGCAGCTGTCAATCCTCTGCAGCCAGAAGACCTGTGGCCATTCCCTTGGCCTCCTCCTCCTCCGCCTATCAGCAGCCCCAGCATAGATAACCTGGTGGGCAGCGTGGGCCCTAGAGAATTGAGCCACATGGTCAACATTCCGCAGTTGCCTTTGATGACAAGTACATTGCTTAACCAACTGTCTACTTAATATTCAAAATTATCCATGGTAAGGGGGGGGGGGGAGGTTGCCCCAAATATAACAAAACACATGGACAATGAAAAACATGGTAATAGTTTTTTTTACCCTTTTATCTGGCAACAAAACTGACACCTTTTTTTACAAGGAGTCATGTTTGCATTGACCACAATACCTGCGGTCGGAATGCAAACAAAAAATACAACTCTGATGATGTATGCACTGTCCTTGAAATTGATTGGTCCACACCCGAGACAGCTTTTTTTAGAGCCTAGTCTCACATGGTGTTCGACCAGATGACACCAAAAGGCGTCATAAAAAAAGGTGTCAGTTTTGTTGCCAGATAAAAGGGTAAAAAAACATTTATCATATTTTGCTACTGGCAAAGGAGGTTCCAATGGAATGAAAAACATGTTTACATAAATTAGGTTATAAAACTCATTAATTGCCTGCCTGTTTTGAATGGGGGTTGAGACGTAGAATGTGCCGACTATGTTTTATTATTTTATCACTAGTTTTGATTGTTTTTTAGTATGATTTCTTGCCGACGTGTTTGCGATTGCGTGGGCACACTGTGTCTCACTAACTCAACTTTAAAAGGTGCACACAGTTAATCCACAAGTTGGATAATCTGCCCAGCGATCATGTAGTGTCACTATCGATTAAACTATTCTTATTTTTCAGGAAAGGCCCACTGAGCTATACAGCTCTTTTTCATAAGCGACCTGGCCACAAATGGTAGCTCAACGAAGTGGCTTATCATCATGTGGAAATTTTTAGCAGCCAAATAATCTAAATGCATATTTCTAAACGTGGAGGGAAAAAACGAAGGACCTGGAGAAAAATCCACGCGACCACAGGGAGGTAGTTACAATCTCACCACCGCGGGTCCCGTTCATCTGCCGCCAATGAAGGTCTCCTTTCTGCTCTGCACCTTGAGAGAAGTGCGATGCTCTGATTTGGTGGATTTCATTGATGGCCGTTGTGGCAAAACCTCGTACTCGAATTGTAAATGTTGTGGCTTTACTCTCCAACACACCCGGTGTGCTGAACTAGTAACTAATTGGCCAGTTTTGTTTACGTGACAAACTTACTAATTGGCTGTGGTCAGTGGGTTTAACGACACATTTATATTTACGCGATCTAACCCAAAATAAAACTTGTTTTGCTAATCGGTCGCGAAATCCTGGTTGTTGAACTCATGGGGGTTACGCTTTACGGTTGCAGGCAATGTACCTCGTGTACCGGGCCTTGGAAAAGGAACCCGTTCCACTCGCTCTGCCCATCAAGCTCATCCCTCCGGCCAAGAGGAAACCGGGTCTCGTGTCGTCCGCTTTCGCTCTGCCAAAGGTACAGGTGAGTGCCTGCTCACTGGCGTTTGCATTCACCGCTCTTTTGAAGCTGTATTATATCAGCCGGTGAGGCGCTGTTGACCTTAGCAGCTCTTTTACACGGACGAACACACCCCCAGGCCATCGGCAGCAGCGGTAGTTACGGGACATTGCAGCTACGTAGCGTTAACATAGAGACTCGTGGAGTGACACAGATATTCATAGAGTTACATAGAGATTCATAGACTCACACTCGGCGTTGTTTCAGCTGGTGAGGCCCCATTGAGCTAAGCGACTATTTGACAAGGACGACCGCAGCCCCCCAGACTGTCAGCAGTGACGACTTTTAACATGTCATTTACTCAAAAAGGATTCTGCACTTGGCCGCTGAAATATTTTGTCTTGTCATTGTGACGTATTTACCTGTGAACCCTTTAATGTAAACATAGGCTTTGACTAAAAGCTGTTTCACTTGAAAACTGCCCTCCGTGACTTCTCAAATCCTGGGCGTGTTTAAACATTTGCGGAAATAGCTTTCATCAAGTCCAGTCTCATATAATTTTATGTCTGTAATAAGTTGTTGGCCAAACATTCCCAATGTTGAAAAAGTATTGAGACTCATTGAGGCTTTCCTTGATGGATGAAAGTTACTTTTCTTAATTTACTGAGCCAGTGCTGCAAGTTTGACATGTCTGTGGTAGGGACCAGCATCTCTTCGAACAACTACCAGTTTCGATCCCAGAAAGTGACTCTTTATATGGTCACTCGGATGAGATGATCAGAATTGGACGTCTATTTCCCAAGTAAAGGCCCATTGAGCAACTCAGCCACCATTGATGATGACCTGGATTTGAACTCATGTACATCGAATTGTGCAGCACTCTCCAAGCACAGCGCAACCCAGGCGCAATTACGAAGGAGCAGAGCAAGACGAGATAAAATACAAAACACGCCAAGACTATTTGATTTGTCAATTAAAAGCAGTGCTTACGCTCGTATCAAATTAAATGAATCGTGTGCTTAAGAACAGATCGGTTTTTGATTATTGAACATTTGAAATCAACTTTTCGATAGGTTTGCGGCTGGTACAAACAAGGCAGATGGTAGACGAGACACTGTAGCAACAACAACAACCGCCATTCGCCACTAAGTGGCAGTGACATTAACACGACGCTTGTGCCAGGCCATGTGCACCTTGAGGCCACGTGAAGTGTCGAACGCCCGCTGGCAGGAGGTCACGGGGCAGACCCACGTGCCACGGGTCGACTGACTGAGATGACTGAGATGACTAGCTGATGCACCACCTGTACCCCCTACTGTGCGAGACACTGCAGACGGGTTAAGATAGACGAGGCGGATGGTACAGATTAGACGGAACTGATCGCAGACAGCATAAATGCGACAGTGTGGATGAAATGGATAGTTCAAATGAGGAAGGCAAAAATCTCGGCAGTACAGAGGAGATAAAACAAATAAGACAATACGAATGATAGAGTACAGCATAAACCATTATGCAAACTCCGGTCATCCTCGCAGCGGCTTTTGGCAAGCCATCGAACAAAGAAAGTCGACACATCCTGTGCTTTCAGATGCACTTCTGCGGCTGTCTGGAACGTTTTTCCTTCCGATATTAGGAAGTTACTGGAGCAATGCACTTTTAAATCATCTAGATTTAAAACTAATTTCTTTAGAACTGCTTTTTGTGTTTGGTTTGTTGTCCTTCCCCCGCACTTCCAATTAGCATGGTTGGCCACGTACGATGCGAAAGAAGTTTAACGTACATAAGGCAGTACAAATGAAACAGTACGGGCTGCAACCGAAAATTGCTCTCATTAATTGTGTTGGTAAGAGTGTTTGGGGTGGGGGGGGGAAATCGTTACACACCTAATGAATGCGTTTGTTTAAACATGCATGAGGCATCTCTCGTAATTTATTCATTCCCGTTCGGCCTCTGTGGCAGAGCCAAGCGGTGAGCGCGGCAGAGAGATTCAAGTACGACGAAATGTTCACAAAACTGGACAAGGACGGGGACGGTCAGGTCACGGGCCTGGAGGTCAAGGAGGTGTTTATGAAGACCGGCCTCTCTCCCGCCGTCCTCGCTCAGATCTGGTCAGTGGGCTGTGTCCTTCCAACGCGCCGCGTGTTTGTGATGTGCGGGCGAGCCGGACATAATGCCACTCGTTTTTGTGTCCTGGGACGGGTTACGTTAGTCCGCCCTCGGGGTCCGTTTGTCTTTCACGAGGATGCTTTGCATTTTTAATGAAAATCACAAACCCTCTAAATGGGATCATTCACAAATACCAACTCCAGATACCAATGGCTTTTGGGCGATGTTGGTAATAAAATATAAAAGAAAAGTCACGTTTCAAGCGGGGATTCTGTTGTGCTTTCCGACACGGCCTTGTGTTTGGATGGATTTAATTAGTATTTAATTAACAACAATAACAGCGCCTTCCGATCTGCATAATGAGACGGCGTCACGCAGTGCGTGATGTCGCGAGATGACATCACGCCTCATGGTGTAAGAGGGGAGGAGAGCGCCATGGTGTGTGACGTCATCACCGTGGTTGACAAGGCTTATCCTTTTAGCATTGGGTTGTAATCGCCAAGTTCTAGACAACCCTTTGATAAATTGGGCTGATTTTACATAAGGTCGAGTCCCTAATCGCAACCAAATTTTGCACTTGAGTTTTATTTATATTGCGTCATCTTTACAAGAGCTATCTGGCTCTCCCCAACGGCCAGATGGATAGATAAAGAGAAATATAGGACAGAGCTAACCTCCAACCTTCGTTAATGGAAAGCGTTAATAATTACACGAGAGGGTTTTGAATTTTTGGGTGTTAGCTATTTCGCGAATCGGCACTTGTGTGTGTGCGTGTGCTATAATAGGGGCTTGTAGGTGCATGTGCCTGATGTGTACGTGTATGAGCACGTGCGATTTCTTTTCCTTGCGCAGTTCTTTGTAATGTCGAACCCCCTATCAAATTCGAGGTTCCCCTTAATGACCTGGCTTGGCAGGTTGTTGTAGTGCTTCCCGCTTTGGAGGTGGTTCAAATATATTCGTTTTTAGTTTTTGTTCCCCTGCTCTTTTGAGTGTAGGACGACGGTGCTTCTCGCCATTGAGCCCCACTGGTGGATATTTTCACATTGTGATGGCCAGGGCAATTCGCTGCGTGATACTCCAGCAACCACTGTTGACTTCCCCCAAAATCGGTGCTAGTTTTTTCGACCCTAAAGGGATGATGGGCTGTAATGTAGTGTGTAGTACAGTACTAATGTTGGGGTTGGTGGATTACACACAGAACATCTTGTGCTATAAGACTCCCAACCTGTTCGGTGGTTATGTGGCCAATACCGGCAGTACAGCAAGTAGGTTTTGTGACCTCTCCCCACCCAGCTATGTTTGTTTGAACTCCTTTCTCAGACGGTGAGTTTCAGTTCAACAATTCCATCCCGTGCGTGCCACATTTACCGTGCGAGTTATATTATTTCTCGTGTTTTTCCCATCTGATTTTGTCCATTTCTGTTTGTTCACTTTTTGCTCGATGTAACACTGGCATACAATCGGATTAAATACATTTCGCGGTTCCATGAGTGCACGCGTGAGTCCCCGAGTTTTGCGCCGTGGGACGTTTTATTAAATCGTTTAGATTGAAAAATGTATTTCTTCAGAACTGCTTTTTTTTAGTTTGTTGTCCTTCCACTGTACCGCTGATTAGCACGGTTAGCTACATTCGGTGCTAAATAAATTCTACATACATAAGTAAAATTCTGGGCGTACCCAGTATAAGTGTAATCGTCATTAACCCTTTCCCGTTCTGAGACATCTGCATATTTGAGGGTGGATCCCGTTCACTGCAGAATCTCAGAACGCGAAAACGGTTCAGCGTTCATTTTACTTGGAGTGGCATAGCGCCGTTGTTTTTAAAGACATTGAACTCACCACAGGGAACTTTTAACAACACGACCGTTGCACTCTACGATGGCTGGCGCCACACTGTGCCACACGTCCTTTCGCATGGGCTTGTGTGAGCCTCGGTATACCGATAAGTTATTTTATTTTTTCTTGCAGTTCCATTCCAATGACGTACACGTACGGAAAAGGGTTAAATGTAATGGGGCGTCGTTAACAGGCCTGACATGTTCACGCGTGCACGTGCAGGGCGCTGAGCGACACACGGCAGTGCGGCAAGCTGACGAGGGATCAGTTCGGCATGGCCATGCATCTTGTGCAGGAGAAGATTGGCAGGCGAGCCAGCCTCACCACCGGGACACCGCCCTCTCCGCCGGACCAAGCCACAGCCACGACAGCCGCCACCGCAGCCACGGCCGTCACCACCTCCGCCACCGCCGAGCGGAGACCGTCGCGAACGGTGCGCTGCGCGTGAAATCAACCAACGCTCAAAACCCATACGGGATCTTCAAACGGCTGTGCCGCAACCGCCGCTGCTCGCCTTGACGTAGAAAAGCTATAATTTCGCAGGCCGCGTACGGTTCTCAAGCGAGGGTTCCTGCGCCCTCTCACCCAACCCCAGCTTACGAGGTTGCCACGAATCGTTGCTGGAAGGTAGAGGGGAGGCTACGACTTTATATGATTACCAATCATTGCGCGTGCAGTGTTTCGAGTACATATGTATGGAAATAATTGGTCATCACGACAAGGTGGACCGCATTGTCTTGTGGATTGCAGTTGAGAAACGCTGGTCTAGATCACACAGCTGTCCACGAGTCAAAACCCCAGGGTGGCGAGATGCTAGCTACCTCACTTGGTATGCAGGAGATGGTGTGTTTTATCCCGACCCTGACACCTGTATATTTGGAGTTTGCATGTTCTCCCCGTGGTTGTTTGGATTTTTCTCTGGGTCCTACAGTTTTTAACTCCACATGTAAAATCAACATTTACGTTTAGAATATTTGGCAGCTTTACATTTCCACGAGAAAAGCCACTTCTTTGAGCTATCGTTTGTGGTCAGGTCGCTTCTGAAAATGAGCTATATAGCTCAGTGGGCCTTACCTGGTACAATTTTTTAAAAGTTTATAGTTTTTTCAAATCACATTGGGGAACATAAAACTTTTTTTCTGGTTCAGAGAAGCATTCTCTGCTTAACGAGCGGATGCCCCGCAGTGAATTATGGAGATGGGTTAACACGCGCGGCGTAGACTCTGTGCTGCTATGCTACCAGGAGACAATCGACTGGCAATTGTGTGCACAAACCGTCTTACGCAGGCATGCGATTGTTATCTCCTCGTACGTAGTCAAGTCGAGTCAATTTAAATGTTTTTGCTTAACCAAGTAATGCCTTTCTGGCTCAAATCTGCCACCCAAAGCTCCATCACATGCACAAAAACATAGACAATTCTATACTACAGTGAGAGAGATAAAAACATGATGTTTTTATAGCTGTTTATAACATAGAAATAAAAGCAATTTGTGGCCGTGAGTTGTTGTAGCAGGGGACCCTCTTTTAAAATAGAGGCTAGAGAGACTCGGTGCAGCTTATCATGGATAAATAAATGACATTAGAAATATAACCAAAACATAGGAGCAACCCAGCTGCATGCTTTTCGGGCAAACGCCTACACTACTGGCGTGCCAAGCAGTCACTATAATCATCTTATCTGTCGATTGACATTCTTTGAAGAAAGAAAAATGTTGCCCCAGCTGCCTTCCCATCTTGATGTAATATGTATTATACACTGCTAGTGACAATTTGAATGAGCTGTGAATGTTTCTCGCGGCAGGCCCCAGCCGGTATTTCCAGTTTGCCAGTGCCACAGAAAGCTGACTGAAGTAGTTATCTGATGAGTGGCTTGTTTATCTTTGTTCGGCTCTCATTGGCTGCGTTGGCTACACCTTCACCCAGTGCAAGCGGCTTGTGGGGAGCTACAATCGGAAAAGTGCTGGACCGGTGGCTTGTGCGGGGAGCTCATACTTGTTTCCTTTGTCAGAGCATTGAACTGGTCGTGCAGAGGTTCTGGGATCTCACAATTATTATTATCACGAGTAGATAACCCCTTTTTACTCTGCAATGAATAAGAAACAGCTGTGATTTGCATACTCGCCTAATAATCTAGTGCTCGGAGCACTTCAAGTAATTAGTTTTACGGAATTAAATGCCTCCTCTCTGCCCCCCCCCCCTTCCCGGCTGACTTGAGCGTCTGCTGCCCCCTGTATTTTGGCTTGAGGGCAGTGGGCCAATGTGAACCTCCCTGTGCCTGCTGCTTCAGTCGGGGAGTGGCACCTGCTTTGTCCTCTTTTGCACGCCTTGCACTTTTAATGCGTGGGTCCTCAACTGTATAGTCCTTGGCGCACCCACTATGGGGCTGCAAGCGTCATTATTGGCCTGAGAGAGAGAGGCTAATGGGATAAGCGCAATGCAAATCAGATGTGTACTAATAGAGCCGGGATGGGCAGTACATGGACCTGAAACGTTCCACTGCTTTGTTGCGCAACTGACCGCAGCCACATAAGGCTTTGAAATCGCCCACAAATATTTATTTTTCCATCGCTGCAAGCATCTTGGCTGCACTTATCAGGTACTACAGGGGGGATATTTTCTTCAGGGTGTCTCTTTCTAATTTTAGCTCTCTCGGTCACAGCTTACTGCTGCGAGGATCTCTTTATATTATTTGGGTCTTTCGGTAAAGTAACATACATAGGTTCAAAAAGTAAATAACTCGATTGGACAACGGGAAGGGGACGACATCTTGATGACAAAAGACAGGCGGCGCCTGCTTTTTGTGCAAGCTGATTCCACGGTTTAGGGACCGCGGCGTTTTTCACCTAAACAAAAATATATAATGAATAAGCTGTCCATGATTTTTTTAAATTGCACGAAAGGAGGCAATTCATTGATTATTTGATGCCGATTTTAATAGAGGCATACATTGTCACCGGATCTGAGTGCGTGTGCAAAATTAGGGATTGATTGGACAACGGGGAGTGCACGAAATGTAGATGACAAGATTTGAGCACGACACAGGAGTCAAGTTAAGTAAAACCGTTGAAAAAAAGGAAGTTTTTTGAGCCTGTGATTGAACAGGGGAATGGAGTCGACAGCGTGGGATGGCTGGCAGGAAGGGAGCTCCACACAATGGGGGGAGAGCAGAGTAGAATGAGGTACCTCGTGGTTACAATCAGTGCCTACTCATAGAAAACTTACTTTAATGTCAATTCTAATTGATCATGGGTCAACTATCTTAATATTTCCCTATTTTATGAACTAGTTTTTTTTTTACCAGGTAAGGCCCACTGAGCTCTATAGCTCTTTCAGAAGCGACCTGCCGACTAATAATGGCGCAACGAAGTGGCCTATAGTGTGGACATTAATAGCAGCCAATTACTGTAAACACATGTTAATTCTAAATGTGGAGGGGAACCAGATAAAAATCCATGAGGAGTACACGCAAACTCCAAATATTACAGGCGTCAGGGTCAGGATAGAACCTCAAGACCTGTATACCAGTTGATGTAGTTAACATCTCGCCAACGCGGCACCACACACTCTTAAGGTGTAGTGTCAAACTACAAGCCAATTTTTTTTGCCTTCTAACTCTGCTCTGACAGAAACTGAAGCCTACTCTTTTTTTATGTGGTTATAATCCAATATTAATGACAAGGGTTGTGAGTTTTTGTTAACGGTGCCAATGGATGGCTGCATTCATATGTCCTGGAAATATAAGGCCAACCCGTTCGTCTGAGGACACTTCACATTCTGTCATGAAGACTACAAATCCCCGAAGCCAATCACTATGCAACGAACAACACAGCTCGCTAATACAGATGTCGAGATTGGATATTATAATTTTTACGTGATATTTACCAAACTAGTTTTGATGAAATACTTTCTAGAAGGCTATTGTTTTTAACTCTTCTTGACCTAAACAGTTATCTTGCATTCGTTCTCCGAATGAAACAAAGGATCACTTGAATGTTCTGGCTTTTCAGCTTGTTTATTTATGCAGGCTAAAGCAGTCCACGTGCTCACACTCATTGCTGTTCTGAATTCAACCAGTGGTGTGGTTGTAAATAAATTATACATCACTTACAGACATACACTATTTGCAGAGTGAATCTCTCGTTAAGGAGTCCTTCTGCTTTATGTTAGAATAACTTGTCCTGGAACAAACGAATACAGGACTACTCCCACTGCTTACCAAAGTGGTGGGAATGGCGGTGTGTGAGATTTTGACATTGTCCACACACAGAGTCCTTTGTCCCCGCACAAAGTTGAGAACCACTGCTTTAGACTGTCCGTCGTGCGTTTGTGTTGGCAGCGTCTGGTTCGTCAAGGCTGCGAATGAGTTTCGGCTAACTCTGGCAACGTTGCTTGTTATAATTGACGGCGGTTTAGTTCTCAGTTGTTTTTGTAAAATCTCTCGGGAAGCAAAATGAAAAATCAAACAAAGAAGCACGGCATTAGCAGCGTTTCCATCGACCTTAACACAAACGTGTCGTGAAATATTAAACACGTCTCTTTTTACTTTACCGCACGTAAGCAGATCGTATATCCTGACGTGCGGTTCGGTTTTTTTGTGTTTTCGTTATGTCCAACAGGAGAGTCCACTTCTCCCTGGTGGGCTCACAGACTTCTCAGCAATCAAAGCCCTGGATGCCATTTCAGACGTACACAGGTACGCCAAACGCGCACACTTAACCCTGTGCACAAGACCACACGCACACACTTAACCCCGTGCACAAGACCACACGCCAGTGCTGTAATCACCCCATGTGTTGATAGAGGAGAGTTCATCAGCTGGTGCCTAAGAGGGCACGTCAGGCTACTAATAGTGGAAATAGATAAGGGGCTGCCTTGCATTTATTGCACCTGTGCCTGCCTGTGATGCTACGCTACTACGACGGGCAACTGGTGCCTCTCGGACAGGTCGGTAAACCAAAATAACAGGAAGAGCCATTTTTTTCTCATTCTGTAAAAAAAACCCTCAATATTTCAAGAGCTGCAATGCACGTGATTACGAGACGGTGGTCCGAAATAAATAACGGCACGAAGCAGTCCTTAAAGAGCCGCATGCGTCTCCAGAACCACAGGTTGCCGACCCCTGGAATCTAGGAGTGATTCGCATCCTGCAGGGGGAGACGCAGAGCAGTGTAAGTGATGTTATGACTTGCCCTAGTTATGAACACTCCCTGCCGAGCTCAGTGGTAATGGATGTGCTTATTCCAAACTCACAGCGCAACCTTGTGGTTAAGCTAAGGTGTTGCGCCTGAAATGGTTGGCCTGGTGTTGAATATAATTGACTGACTTAGAGCATACGTTTTAGTCTAGCTTCAGGGTTGTTTGTAATCATGTCTTAATGGGACGGAGGAAGTTTAAGCGGCGGTGGCATAGTAGTTAGCACGCCACGCTATAGACTTGGTAGGCCTGAGTTCAATTCCCCACCACAGCTGACATCGGTGTTGATACTAAAAGTAAAACTATTTTATTTTAATGTTGAGTGGTTATCGGTCCTGGCCAGCACTTCCTTTCACCACCCACACTGAACATCATGTTGAAGTATATTCAGATTCCCCCCAAGACTCGCACATTGTTGCGAGGCCTTCATCCAGCAGTGGATTAGACACAGCGCCAAAACTGAATAAATGTAACCATTCATCGGTCCTGTCATTCAGTCAGTTATTTATGACTCCTATGCGCTTGATACATTCATCGATCTGCGTGTGCAAGAATCAATGACTTGTGATTCATGATATGGAAAGATGCTTTGATGCAGGTGTGCAGCAATGGTGATGTGGTTAGCACTCTGCATTATCAGCTCAGTTACCCGAGTTCAATTCCCGGCTACGACGAACATCAGTGGTCAGTGATAGATGAAGCTTGTGCCTGAGTCTCTACCAACCCGTAATGAAGTACAGTCAAACAAACACCATGTCTGACACAACATGGGTAGGCCTTCATCCAGTCGTGGATTGATAAGGGGCTGTTCATTCTTATAGGCTGACAGAACAAATACGATGGGACACATGACACGTACAATACAAACGAGTCGCTGTGAGACATCAGTGGATTTATCCATCAATGGAATTGTGACACCCCAATCACCGTGTAATGCGTGTTCCGTTAGTCATCCCTTGTTATCTTCTTGGCAGACAGAGAGAGAGACCTTTAGCTAAAACCCAAGAGTCCATTGGCAATATTTTAAAAAATCTTCTTTTCTAGGTCAGCCTTTCTGTCAAAGGCTGAGTGTCTCCATAAACCCACACGTGTACTACAGGATGATGCTCAAAAGGTCTGCACGAATGGGTTCATAAAAGCACCCACTTGCTGTCCTGGCAATTCTGGCAACTTAGCGACCCAACAGGTTACTCACAAAATATTATCATTAAAATGCTCAGTTATTGTATTAGTTGTTAGCCTCTTTCCAGATGGTGAGATGATGAAAAAATCACCCACAGACTGTTGGGGAAAGTGCTGTAAGCGAGCACCTACGAAGGGGGTGGGTGGCCAGCACCACACCCGGCCACCTTTGTCTCCCCAGTACTAATGTGTACACACCCGGCCGCACACTCATTCGAAGCCCAGGACCGGTTCAGATAATCGTCACTAGTGTTGGCGGCCATGACCGGGAATTGAACTCGGGTGGCTGGGTTCGTAGCGCAGCGTGCTAACCACTGCGCCACCGCCCATTCAGACTAACAATCTTGTTTTCTAGGTCAGCCTTTGTGTGAAAAATGAGTCTCTTTATTCAAATGAAAACCCACGCTAAGCAGCATTCTGAAGTATGGTCAAATAACCTTGACGCCACGCACGGCATGGTGAGCCCTCATGCAGTAGTGGATTGAAAAATGGCTGCGCCCATATACATATTGAAGTGTCTCCCAGCTCAAGGGGGTCTTGGGCGCTCACCTTCACTGGTAGTCCTCATCTAGCAGTGGAAATGCCATATTTCTCTGTCTGCATAAGACAGCCACCGTTGGCAATCTGACCAGGTGACGAAGCGGTAAAGTCTGCGGCTTGCAGTCGAAAAGTTGTGAGTTCAAATCCTGGCTGTAGGTCCACTGGGACTCATCATCCCTGTGGGGTTGATACAATTAGAATCAATTTGTGGGGGAGTCAACAGCGGTTGGCCCATTAATAGACTTGTTCCCGTCATCGATATGTGGACTTTCCACCACTGCCTCGAAGCAGCAAACAGGAGATGAGCACAGTCTCAATGACTGATTGAGCAAGACATTACTTTTACCATTTTAGTCCATGTACAGAAAGTGGTATTCATTTTCTTGTCCCTTAAAATGCAATTGCAATGGACTGAGTCATTCACCTAACTGGATTTCAACTCAGAACTTGTAACGCAGGTGGCTCTACCACAGTTACAGTATGAATAGAGAATCTACAGCTATCCATGATCTAATACGTCACAGTCGCTCCTCGCTGCCCCTGTTCAAGGAGTGCTCTGACACCCGCTCATCTTCTCTGCCTATGGCTCGCTGTTGTCCGCGTACCGCAGCGTGTTGTGGCCGCGGTTAGACACCGCTTCCTCTCCTCTCATTTCTCAATGTGGCTCAAGAGCAACATGAAAATCTTCGTCCGTCCGTCCTCTGCCGGCGTTGTTGCCTCAGTCATTTACACGCCACGTAAATCCAGATTGTATTGCATGGCTAGAGCCCTCATCGATTGCTTCGACTGAATTCGGTCAAAGTGGTCTCTTCGCCTGCTGGGCCTCCCCCCCCTTCTCCTTCGTCCCGGCCGGCCCAACGAACCGCGTCTCCTCCGTCTCCTCCGTTGGCCGTTTCCGTGGCGCTGGCGTTTGTCAGCAACCGCAACGACGGAGCTATTTATAGCCCCACCCCCTACCCCCCCCCCGTCGTGTGTTTCCATGACAACGGTTGCTGCGGCTCATTGCTAGCCTTATATATATGTATCTTGACTTAAAGCTTTTGCGACTGCAGGAATTCAGATTTATTTGGGTCTTGCGGTAAAGTCACGTAGATAGGTTCAAAGGCTTACGACGTTTCGATCGCAACACAAGCGGTCGTCTTCGGAGAAAAAAAAAAGATGACCGCTTGTGTCGCGATCGAAACGTCGTAGTCTTTGAACCTATCTCTGTGACTTGACTGAAAGACCCAAAGAATAGGCATGCAATGATTTATTGATAAAATTTTGATTCTAATACTCACAGTACATGTTTGCAGTTGTATATCTATTTCCTGATTATTCCAGATTTCTGTAAATTTTTGAGTTGGTTTGCACACTGCGTTGAGGCTGATGACCCAAGTTCCATTGCTGTCCCGGGGTCTCCCCTTCACCAGCCCGTGCTCACCAGCGTAATGAAGTATGGTCAAACAACCCCCCAAGACCGATACAGCTTGGGGAGGTCTTCATCTGGCAGTGAATTGGCAAAGGGATTCTAAATTATGATGAATTAATTATGATATGTGTTAATGTTTGCAACCGAAGACAATGCGATATCAAATGGCAAAAGCAAATCGTACATTTTATTCGTGACAAATTGATGAATCGTGAAGGATGGGTTAGTCATTACATTTGTTGCATATATAGTGTGTGCACAGGCACCGTTACTGTATATGTGTATAGTTAGTACGTTTAGATGTATACAAGGGATGTGTTTAGGATGTGCCCAATCTATAAACTATGAAACTCTTCATTTTACCAGGTAAGGCACACTAAGCCATATACTTTATTTTTCAAAAGCGATTTGGCCACACATGATAGCTCAACAAAGTGTCTTTTCATGTGGAAATTTATAGCAGCCAAATGCTCTGAAAGCATGCTTTCTAAAAGTGGAGGGAAAAACCGGAGGAGCCGGAGAAAAATCCATGCGTCCGCTGGGAGAACATGTGAACTCCAAATATTCAGACGTCAGGGTCAGGATCGAACCCACGACTTCCTGTATACCAGGCGTCACTTCGGCACCCAACAAGCTGAGCAGGCTTTGAGCCTGGATAATGCTTAGATGAAGCCTATTACTCAAGGCACACACCACGGGAAGGGCAGTTAAGACAGACGGAGAGGGGGGCACGGCTCAAGATGAACAGTAGGAAGATAGACTGAGCGCCGGTGCAGGATGTGGAGGGGGAGAAGGAATGACCGGGCCAAGATGTCGTAGATGATGAGACAGTGGGAGGGGAATGAAGATAAGGAGGGAGAAGGAAGGAGCGGGCAGATGTGTGCTGCACAGAGGAGCAACTTTTGGTTATCACTGGGGGGCGGGGAAGAGGGGAGCGGTTCATAGTGGTGGTGGTCACACATAAGTAACGTGTTTTACGGAAGGCTTGAGCTGATTTAGAGATACTGTATTTACGGGTGTCCATCATGCATAAACACGTATTGTTGTACTGTACTTCTATGCTCCCTCGTCTATGCTTCCCCCACTTCACTAATACGCACAGCCCAGCGTGATGAAGTACACTCCTATAACCCCCACAACCCACATGGGTTGTCTATGGGTAGTGTGCCTGTGCACACACTATATATGCAACATCCAGCAGTGGATTGACAGAAGGGCCTCGCATGTACAGTACAGTAAATAAACGCACGTAAATATATGCAGACATAAGATAATATTCTTCTTAGATGTATAGGCTGTCAGACCTATTTCCCATATCAAGCACATAATTCATACGTACATGCCTGCATCTGTCATGCTTATCAATA